CTTTGCGTCGATAAAACCCAAAACACCAACATCTGTCTTTGCCACCATACGAAGCTGAAAAGTCAGCTGTTGATCAGAAATTCTACATTTGTCTGTCGTACTTGACGAGGGCACTGATAATGTTTGAGCTTCTCTTCGGGTCTTCCTGTCTCTCATAATTCCACCTTTGCTCCAAGTTAATTTCTCACGGTCTTTGTCGAGTGCGGTAAGCCCGGCCACCCAGCCGATGTATCAATTTCGGTCCACTGTTTGGGGTTGTACTTCTGCTCCGGTGGTTGGTTGCTTGGACTTCACATTAATAGACCAAATGGCGCCATAACCTATCGTTCCTGCAGGTGGAGGGGGTCGACTCGATCGGACCGCGAGCCCGCCATGGCACTGCAGTAGTCGGTTTCGACATTTACATCATCGGTGGTTACGACGGCGAGGAAGAACTACGCTCATGTCACTGCTTCAACGCTGTTATGAAGACATGGCGCGAGGTGGCACCTATGAATGTCTGCAGGTAAGATGCAGATCGGTAACTAAGGAACTCCTTGGAGCAGAGTCGTCCTTCAAAAGCTGATAGTCGTCCTGTTAGTCTGGATATAAATATTGGCAGGAGCTATAAAATTGTACCACTCACATACAGGAGGACACTTGCGACAATGCTGGTCGTAAGTCAAACCCGAATAGAAGCCAATCACAAACTTCGTTCGTAGTTTTTCCAGGTTTTAAGAATACGGCTTGCTTGTTAATTCATTTCAATTATGATATAACAATGACGAACGTACAATTGCGTTCTGCGAGAGGAAATGCATCTGCATCAGAAATAAATGAGCATAGCAGAGCGCGTAATTCTTTTCATTTCAGATGCAGTTTAATGGTGGCAGTTCTGCGAGGTGCGGTGTACGCCATGGGCGGTGGCATTGAAATTGAGGAACTCAGAACGGCGGAAAAATATGACCGCAAGGCGAATCAGTGGTCTTTGATCGCTCCTATGAACTTAAACCGACGGGATGCAAGTGCGGCTGTCCTGAATGGTACGTAAATTCTGTGAAACAGAAATTTGTGAATTAGTGCAGAAGGCGAGGCGTCTGTCTGTCTGTCTGTTTGTCTGTCTGTATGTCCGCGTGTAACAACGCAGGAACGGTTGAAGGAATCGCAGGATTTAAAGTTCTCACGGTGGCCAGTACGAAGATGGCCGTCGTTTGGCTTCTGCCGAAGTTTCAGAGGTACTTTATGCCTTCATCATCAAGGCATTCCTCTTCGCTCTTGAACTTACTTTCCCTCACTCCATCGTCCCATATTCTTTTATCCGTGCTACGTACTACGTTTTTTCACGGACTGCAACAACTTGAAGTTCTGAGTGAGTGATGGTTTCTTCTGCTCTTATAAGCTGTCCGTTTGCATCGTCTTCTGCCTTTTTAATGTACACTAGGAGTGAATGCAAACAACCATCAAACTATCAAACTGTCTCTCATATGATACAGATGTATAGTGTTTTTGAGACAGTATATAATCTCATGTATGATAGCTCAGTCAGTATAGTGACTAGCTACGGGCTGGACGACCGGGGTTCGATCCCCGACGGGGGCAGAGGATTTTTCCTCTAGCCTCTGCGTCCA